ATACTAATTTCCAAACTATATTTCTGCCTGTCTGTTACATCACGTAATTGCATTTGATACATGCACATACGCTTTGACTGAGTCCAATTGGCCTTCAACTTTATTCTGCTGCTTGGATATTGGTTACTGTCATAGAGAAGAGTTATCAATGCCAGGTCGCTGACTGGAGCAGGCTGTGGTAGGGCTAAAATGAATGAATATATGGCGATAATGTAAAATTAGCTTGTCAACATTCACTCTTTATTTACAAATAGTGGGAGGAAAGGTGTTCTACATTTGCTCTACATGATGGAAAAGCGTACCCGCCCATGTCGAATAGATAGTAGTTCTTAACGTGGCTTAAGTGTTTTCTATGATAGCGGTGTACCGCGCGTATGCGGAGATCCATAAGAAGGGATAGTTATCCTCAAGAGAAGATTGATGAAGATCCGAAAGAGTTGACATATGTATCAAAGCTACTTACATATGTTATTCGTCTCTTCTCCAATACTGATTGATGAATTTTCTGTAACGACCGCAACCTTGAATTTGAAGAAAATCCCTTGAAATGTTTGGCGGAAATTTGCGCGGAGCCGACAACACAACTCTACAGTACGAAGAGTGGCGTGAGGGCTTGTTAACACCTGGAAAAATGAGACAAAATGAGACAAAGTGAGACAAACTTTTTCCATTCAATCTGAGCTTAATATGGCTTAAATCCTACTTAATTTGGGTAAAAACTATGTTAAGCCTGAAAAAACTAGAAGGGAAAGTGGCAAAGTGACAGACTAACTAAACGGTGTAGTTGAGTGAATAAATGAATGAATGGATAAACAAACCCGCGAAAGAACGAACGAATGAATGGAAGTATAAATGAATGAATTAATGAAAGGGGGAATGTATGAATTGATGAGTGGATGAATGGAAATTAAGGTGAGCGATCATGGGAGACAGTTCTCCGTAGCCTTCGTTGCGATAGCTTTTGAGGCTTCAGTTACTATGGGGATGGAAAATACCGAACTGCAGCGCGACGTTGGCCATCCCTTTTTCCTAATATGTACGACTCACTTCCTTTATGAAAGCAGACGTTAAGTGATTTTACAGTTTGCCACAGCTTTCTTAAAGATTACTAGTTCGCATAAAAAACAGACTTGGCTGCAGGGGAATTTAAGAGGCTAAAGTTTAATCGAATATTATTTTATCTCGTCTGGTTCCAACGTTTCTTCATGCATACTTGTAAATCCTGGTATACTCATATTGAAGATCCTCCACATGTGCCCTAAAATAACAGAAAGTTCCTTTATTGCATCGGTTATTAACCATATGTATTTGTACCTGTACGTTACGGCAGAATCACCGCTTCCTCTGCCGATTCATGCCACAACAGGGATTGAAAACATCATTCATGACCTTAAAATGCAAATTTGTCATTTTACAAACTTGAACTACGCCAAAGGATTTTGTTCAGTTGCAAAGCCTTTGTGATATGTTTTTGACCTTTTCCGCTTAGTTTCCTTGGTTTTATTTTCTTTCTTTCTTCGCCATTTTTATTTTTCAAATCCTGATATCAGCCGAAAGTTTTTCCTTTTAATTTTTCCTCTGAGGAAGTCAGTCATTGAGACGTACACTAATGACGTCATGATAAATACACTGATTTTTCTAAGGAAGTTTCGGGAAATAGGTCATTTATTATATTGAGCAAGATTCCATACAGCTTTGCGCAACGGATGATAATCGACCCTATGACTCCACATCGACCCTAGTTTGTGCCATATCCCAGTAAAGATACATTATTGCAACAGCTTGCTCTCTGAATTCCCTCTGATGCAAGGTGGCAGATATAGCAAAGATTTCAAAATGCGGTTGCAAGATATATCAACAAGTTTATATTATCAAAGTAGTCCAAGTTTGTCTGTATCATAAGTTTGCAATTACATGTTTTATTACATCCATTTTGAAATCACTGGTGGTCCCTGTAATCTGATTGGCTCTAATTGGTGCGATTTGTTCACGAATCGCACCATTTTTTGCTCTAAATCGCATCATTTTACGCTTGACTGAGTTTTTGACACATGACATCAGTCTTTCTGTTTTGCATACAAAATAAGATGTAAAAGCGTTTCCGGTTCCACTTTTTATTTTAAAACGGGCTCAGTACTGCATCTGTAAAATTTTTGAATTAATTAAGTTCTGTATCTAATTGGGCAATTTTAAAATGGATGTAATAAAGTGGTAATTGAGCCTCGTGTCGTGCAATTTTGGTCTGAAATCATGCTAGTGATTTCAAATCGAACTCGTGCTGCGCGCTCGTTCGTTTTTGAAATCACGCGTATGATTTCAACCCAAATTGCATTCCACTCAGTTCGATCACCATTATAAATTTTAATACAATGGAGCTGTTGCTTTTTCTCGCATGACTTTGGCCCTAGACTAAAATACATGAATTTCTTTTTACGTAAAACACTGGTTGATAACCATGCATAGTGTAACCAATTGAGTTAACCGACGCCCGGTTAGCTCAAATGGTTATATTTTTAGAGCGCCGGATTTTGTTGTGTGGGAGGTCGAGGGTTCGAGCCCCGGCCGGATCAATACTCATGGTCTTAAAATAACTGAGGAGAATTTGCTACCTTTCTATAATATCAAGAAATGGATAGATATTCTAGTCTTCTCGGATAAGGACGAATAAACCGTAGGCCCCGTCTCCTGCAGGGTTAGGGGTAGGAGACGTTAATTTCCCACGCACGAGATTACTGTGTGGTGGATGTCCTCCCCTGGGGTGGGATGGGTGGGTAGATATTGGTTTCACAGCTGAAGAACAAACTGTAGGCACATTTTGAAAAGATGTATATACTAACGTAAGTAGATAAATGTATTTCTGAATTCCATAATTTATAGTATATATAATAAGGGTATAGATGAACTGAAGAACAAATGAACAGTTTCAGGAGCTTCACTGACCGTGGTAAGGTCGGTGTTGAGGTCAATAGCTCTCCTCTTTTTCTTCCCAACTGTTTCCGATGAGGTGTTACTTATCCTGTATCTGTAATATTGAACTACACTGTGGTTGAACAGCGGTTTCTGCCAAAACACTGTCGTGCGGAATGATTCATCAGAGCTGGGCATCAGTTCATTACGGCTCAGTCCAACAACTTTCACCAGATCTGTTCTTGGTCCTGAATGTAATCAAACGACGAATTACTGATTGCATATATAATATATGATTGGTTTTTACATCATGGTCCAATCTTAATACCAATGTCGTAGGTTTTCTTGTGACTTTTTCGATACAATCTTGTCTCATTGTGCTTTTTCCTTTCAAGAAGTCTCCGAATTACTAAACTAACGTCATATATGATTATCAATGTAGATAACAATGTAGAAGACGTTTGTTCATAGTTAATCTTTTTAATGTATTTATCTCTGTTGCAGTATCCCGTGAGAGTATGTATACAGAGCGTTTACACCTAACTCTAACGAGTACTGTTACGGTAAAGCATTCGCGCTGACACCGACCTGTATTAACTTTTGCCTTTGTCGTAAAAAAGTGTGGACGAATGATTTCATGGGGTTTTTCTGAAGACGTATTTGTTGTCATCGTTTTTAAAGTCAGTCTGATTTCATAAATATAAGATGACGCACTCACATACAAAATCTTAGTCTCTTACCAGGTGCATTGCCCACTGTTTTCTTACTTTTTCCTGTGATGTATTTGTCATTGTAAAAGGGGGTTACCTGCATAAGAAAAGAACCACAAATTTATACAATCCTGAAGTTTATCTACTGAAAATTGACAGATGAAGAGTGGAACTATATTTTGATTAGTTTACTTTTCATATCCAATAATGGATGAGTGTAAAAATACATCTAAATAGAGTGCTGTTGAGATCTTTATTCATCCAGTGCTCTAGCTCTGTTAATGCATGTTCCTATCTTTTGCTTTCAAACAATGTGCAAAGTTAGTTACCTCGATGTTGACGAGTTGTCGTGGCAGTATTGCCGCTATTCTAATTGATGTTCTTTGCTGTAAGACATATTTGAATAAGCATATGAGTAGTTATGTATATGAAAAAATTGAACGAAGAAACGAATTATTGAAAAAGCAAGTGAATCAAAAAGAAACCGATTTGGTTTCAAATTGACTTTCGGTAGAACGGCTGGTTCAAGGTTGGACGTACTTTACACTTGATAGAGCTAGCTCAAAAAGATGACTAATATGTCCTAGTGCCGGTACAATAACTGATTTCAAACACATCAAAGGTGTTTTTTGTGCTTTTAACACTTACCAGGTTGGTTTTCGAATAACTTCGAAACTCATCACGTGGATAACCAGAGGAATGGCATGACACGTTGTAATAGGTAACGCGCCTGTATTTGAAAGATGGTGGCTCCCACGAGACGTTCACGGCAAACGTGTTACTCTGTTCACGTTCGACAAACTTTCCCACAGTAGTGAGATTCTGTACCATGAGTTCGCCATCAGGAGGCACTAGAGGGATGCAAACAGGGCATGTATCATCATCAACATCATAATCATCATCAACATTATCATCACTATCACCATTATTTGCTTAAAGAACAGTGGCGCTGAAGGTCGGCCAGAAACTGACTAGGCGTTTGTTGTAGCTGAGTTCCCGAGAGATACATCCCGAGGGGATGCAAAGCGAGGTGGAATGCGAGCTGGTTTCTTTTTCTATTTTTCGCCGAAGTCGGATTTGCCACTTTCTACAAAAATTGATCAGCGCGGTGAGTTACTAACCAGGTGCACTAGAGGTCTCAGTGGTGCTTTTTCCTTCAATCCCGTTGATAAAATGTGGTGTAACCTGTAAGTAAAATCAAAGAAGGAAACCTTATTCTTACAAACTAAGTATAACGTGTGGAATACTCTATTTTTTTGGTGAGTGTGTATATTTTTGCTTCGATTCATTTTAGTTT